TTCTGTACCTGACACTGATATTAGTGTCTTGAGGTATCACACTATTTAATTTAATTAAATTTTATTTAAAGGGGCCCTATTATGCTCTTTTACAAAGTCTTGATTTTGTTTTGGGGGTGTACTAGAACATGCTCTCATGCTTGGTGGTTCGAAAACGCATTATTTTTCACATAATTTACGTTATTAAAATATCTTTCTCCCCAGCCTGGCACAAACGGCTCGATTAGTTCCGGCTTTGATGAAGGTCCACCTTCTGAAAAACAAAATGTGTTGTGATTGGTTAGCTGTCCCAGTGCATTGTGATTGGCGAACAGCTTAGACGGTGTTTCAGTACTGCCACGCCCCCTTGCTCTGTCTTTCAACAAAAGCTTTTTGGCGAATCCGGCACTGTACTCCCTCATGTTGTGGAAGCTGTCCTCAGTAAAATGCGCAGCACACAATAGCAAATTGGGGTTATAATGCTCAGGGACAGAGTTAAAAAATAAATTGCAACCACTGTTTCCTGACATCATCCGCTTTCGGAAGCCCAAACAAAGACGTTTGGGCACGGAGGTGAAAAAAACCAGGTTTCAGGTGGTCGCACACCGGACGAAAAGCGCAGCATCGTGGCGTGCCACGTCTTTAAAATTCAAATACATTATTTTCTATGAGTGTAGGCACACCGGCGGTGCCGTTCGCCGTTATACTTGTTATACTTGTAAGAATCGTTCTAGACATGCTGAAAATTTGACACTACAGCACAGCAGCTCCTCTTCTTCGTTTTCTCTGATGCACTAACTCTGCAGCAGCACTTCTTCTTCTTCGTCGTCTCGTCTGATGCACTCACTCAACCAAGCGTTCTAACCACAACCTCGCCCCTCCCAACCCCCCAACCATTCGAATTTCTGTAGGCGGGAATTATTTTTAATGATATTCTAATGGGTCGCTTTGTGATATCACAAAGCCCGGAAACCAACGTTGTAGTCCAAACGAGCCGTTCGTTGTAGTTCTTGAAAAGGGATTTTTAAAAAACGAAATATCTCCCTTTGGAGTGAACTTTGAGATTTGTAACTTTCTAGATCTTTTTTATGCCCAAACATACACACTACACAATGACTAAAATTAAAAAAGTGAAAAAGCATAATAGGACCCCTTGAATTTCATTTTTCTATTTAAGCACCAAAATATCACTTTTAAACTTGTTGAAACATTCTGGGTATACTGTTGTTCTCTGCTCTATTATGCAAATGAATGAGTGTTTACATTTTTTGCGTGACTCATGTCTATTTGCTTGTGTATAGCCGAGGATTTAATTTGATTGTAGTGAAGCCACCACCTTCTCCAACAGTCACTTGATCCGTTTATTAAGCTCCTATCAGCCTCAGGATCTTTAGAGCCTCTGGACTCTGAATGGAAGCTCTGCCATACAAATATATGGATGACATGGCGCAATACAGCTTAATAAAAAGCACTGTGCTAGAAATGTGCTTTACTAATCCACAACTTCAAAAGATTGCATACACTACCTTGACTTACAAAAGCAAATAATGTTATCATTAAGATGTTTTTGAAAGACCTCACCAAGGCTGCTTTTATATTTCAAATAATATTGTGAATTATTATCACAATCGATAATATATTTAGAATTTGTATATATTTAAAAATCTAATTTATTCCTATGATGGCAAAGCTGAATTTTCAGGCAACATTTTACTCCAGTCTTCAATATAAACTGTGATACATACAGTACATACATACATTTATTTGTTTATTTATTTAGAACAGCATACATTACATTTGTAAGATGGTAAAAGGACTGTACTGTCACTTTTGATCAATGTTGAATATTCTTTTCTAAAAAAAAAAAAAAGTCACAATTTGAATGACTAAATTTACACTTTTTTACTAGGCTTTTTATAGTTTTATCAAGTATGGCATTAGAGAGAGAATGAGTGATAGGTGGTAGAAAAGTGGTAGAAATGGCAATGGGATTAAGAAAACTGTCATAATTTAAGATTTTATTAATTTCCCTGTCTTGTTAAGGCCTAGAAATCACATTTGGTTTTATTTTAAATCGCTGAAGTTTCCAGGTTTTCCATGACCGTGTGAACCCTGAACTATCTTAGTCCGTCCTGCATTTCTCAGGTAGCAGTCAGTCATCATGACGGAACATCTTGTACTTGTGGCCTCTTTGTTTATTTGTTTGTTTTTCTCTGTTTGTTTTGGCTGTGCAAGTCGAAATGGGCCTCCCCATCGGTCTCGACAGGATCACTACAGCAGGGATGTTGCCATTTGGTCAGTCAAGCATCCATCTGTGGAGCTCTCTGTAGATCAGACATTTGAGATTGAGCGGAAGAAGTGTTTCAGGGTCGCTGAGGAGACATTTCATATATGCTGTGCTCTCTCTCTCTGGCATCTACTGGGCCGTCAGTCACACTCCCAGAAATCTCAGCTGCTAGTCAGTGCTTCTCCAGGCCCCAGGCAGACAGGCTTTGGCGGACTCTGGTTTGACCGTGGCCCATGACTGCTCACTAATCAGCTAGCACCAACAGTGAAGGCCTTTTTGCATAGTGATTTCTCATTCCCTCTTCTCCCCCACTTACATTGCTTTTTGAAGTTACTTTCTTGGCTGATAAAAGTGGGACAGTGACAACAGAAATGGAGTAAGATGAGGTTTTATTTACACACACTGTCTCTAAGTCATTACTGCCTTCAGGACAAAACAAGGTAATCTACAAAGAAAAATCCCCAAACACTGCCTATTGTTTTCAGCTACATTACTGACAAAGTAATGAGGACTTATGCATCTACACTGTATGATAGGGCATTCACCTCAACAGTGCAGGAAATCCATGAGGAATAAAGCAGAGGACCACTTTAATGAAATGTTATCGACAGATTCCCTCTAGCCCAGCTTGCCCCAATGAGTCTGTAAGGATATTTCTTATTTTCAGAAGGCTTGGATATTGGAGTGACGGTCTTGGCTTTTAGATGCCCTGTACTATTCCTAAAATATTTTCAAATCAAATTATCCCCCCAAAAAACTTGTGATACAATATGTTCAGTTAAGAAAATTGTATTAATTTTAAAGTGAAATAAAAATGTATTTTCCTGAATCTTTCAAAATATCTTGTCTTTATTTGAATCTTAAAGTGATAGTTCACCCAAAATGAAAATTCTGTATCATTCACTCACCCTCATGTCATTTCAAACCTCTGGAATGCTGGAACCTCTACAATTGAGTCAGTGAGTTGAATTCAAGAACCTGATCAGGCTGATTTGTTACCCCTTTTTTAATGGATAAGCAATTAATTGAAAAGATCAGATTCGATTTGTTCACAAATCAGACATCACTTTTTGCAATGAGGGTGCAGTGGTCCTTTCATTTGTCCTCCTTGTCTTTTTAGTGTATTTCTCTCTTTCTAATGTGGTTAAATAATAATTCTAAATAATAATAATAATAATTCTGTGTTCTTTCCTTTAAAGCCCCATTACAAATTTAATTATAGAGTACACAAATGGATGTGTGTACTTCTGAATGCCTCTCTCTCTCTCTCTCTCTCTCTCTCTCTCTCTCTCTCTCCTAATCTCCTGTAGAGGTCCCTGTATACCAGTCTCTTTGTCTCATTCACATTTGTCTCATGTTGGCATATGAGATTGGACATGTTGTTTGTTTGTTGTTTGTTTGCTTACTCACATCTTATATTTTTATTTTTCCAAATAATGCGAGACCATGTTTATCCTTTCAATCATGGTTTTGTTTTATAAGTGGAGGATTTAGTACCTTGAGCTGCTTTAGGGAGGCTATACTGCCAAAAACCAAAAGCATCAGTGCCCCCCCCCTCATTTTTACCATCCTTTTGTTTAGTTTCTAAGAAGCACCTCTAAGTCCTGGGTTTTTGCCAAGCCTGAGCAATACGGGGAGCCGAACTACAACAGGGATGCAATTATCTTGTATCTTGCCAGTTCCTTTACAAAATAGAAGATACTGGGTCTAGCTGTCATTTTTTTTTACTCATTTCTTATTTCTCAGGGTCCATTTCTGTATAGGTACCAAAAAAAATAAAAATCTGCTACAATAAAACATTATTGCCATTATTATTGCCCAAGAAAAAGATAGTTTCTTTAACACCTTGTCAAACTTTTTAAAAATGATATTGGTGCTAAGTTGTCACAATGGTAACCTGCCATTAAATAGCCTGTTACAGACTTTTTACTATTTACAATCACAATTTAAACAGTAAAACAATTATAAAGCACAAGCAATTTGTGAAACAGCAAAAAAAGTCATACAAAAATATAAAATCATTGCTTTTACTATATATTGTAATTAATACTAATATTGTAATGATGATGAGTTAAAAAGTGTATTTATAAAGGGTATATATAAATGATTATAAGTAAAGAGAGTTCTAAACTAGGGTTTTGAAACCAGCATACAAAAACAAGCATTTGTGCCTCTCTTTGTATACTATTTATGCACACATGTCACCATGTAAACAAGCAAAGCTACCTCACTACAATAAGTTATACAGCAGCGGTATATTGGAAGATAAGTCGTTGGATTAGATTTCAGGCGACAAAAACCTATTTTACACATCTCTATCAGTAGTGCCATTTGAAAATGTGATGCCATCTGGTTATGATGAGAGATGGGGTGGGCTGCACAGGCAAGAAAAAATCATCTGAAGCTAGATGTTCAGTCGAGAGGGCTGTGTGCTCTTGATATGAATGAAAATTAATAAATAGTCAAGAGCATTTTAAGAGGATTTGTGCCACATGCAGGTGCTCATTTAAATCTTATATAAGTGTTTAAATGCATCAAGATGCAAGCATTAAAATGCTGAATATGATTCTGTTGATGAAATGTAATCAAGGCCTCCATCCACATTATATGGAGAGCCAGTAAAGTGGATGTGATCTCTACTTGGTGCTTAGAATAGATTTCATGAAATACTGCAGCAAATTAACTGCACAATTTTTAAAAGGCTGAAAATTAACCCGCCCTCTTTTTCCTCTAGGGGATTGACTTTGCGGCCTTTACGGGTTACATGTTCCTGGGAATCTGTCTGGTGCTGCTGACCTCATTTCCTTTTTTGAGAATGCTGTTCTGGAATAAGAAACTTTACAACAAGGAATCCAGCGAAATCGTGGGTGAGTATTCATTTATTCTGCTCTGTTCCTACGCACCAGGTTTCCTAAAATCATACGGAACTATCCTTAAGAGTATGTAGAGCCACTCTGCTTTCCTTCGTTTTTCATTCAAGCTCTTTTGTTCTGACATGTGCAATGAAAAATTCATTCATAATCCCATTGACCTAGATCGTAAAGAATGAGCAATCATTTCTAAAAACCATAGAGTGGTTGAGGGCACACTTGACCTTCCTTTGTTGACAGCAGTTCTTCCTATATGAGTATGTGAATGAGTGTCATACACCATTCTACACTATTTACACCAAATCTCATATCCTATCAAAGGTCCTTACATTTGGCCTTTGAGCCCCTGTGACTGGGATAGGCACAGTCTACCCTTTCATGGATGATTATAACCTCGGCAATACATACATTTTTCATCCGCCCCTCCTTCTCTCCCACATCCCACGATCACATTGATGCGTTTAGTCTCTCTGTACCCTTCAGGCTGTTTTCCCTGATTTTTCCATTATTCTTATCGGATGAGCCTGTGCCAAAAGCCTTAAAGGGGTCATATGATGTTGCTAAAAAGAACATTATTTGGTGTAATGAAATGTTTATGCGGTTTAAGGTTAAAAAAACACATTATTTTCCACATACTGTACATTATTGTTTCTCCTCTATGCCCGGCCTTTCAGAAACGCATAGATTTTTACAAAGCTCATCGGTCTGAAAAGCAAGGTGTGCTCTGATTGGCCAGCTATCCAGTGCGTTGTGATTGGCCGAATACCTCAAGCGTGTGACGGAAATGTTACGCCCCTACCATACTGTGATGGCCTCTCCGGCCGGAGTGACGAGACAAAAACATTAAAACCCATTATAAACGAGGCATTTGTTGCATTTGTTGGACATAATTATGGATTATAATGACTTATACTGTCTTTTTACGCATTGCATCGTGCCGCGTAAACATAAAACCATGTCTGCATTTGTGATTGGAGAAATTACAAACAACAAGC